AGGTTAGGTCGTAACCAGTCACACTGGCGTTTTTGTGCTTCCTTATGCACTATATGCGGGAACACTGCTCGGTAATCAATCGTTCACTAATCAGAATGTTTTGCTGAATAGATCCCAGTGTAGTAAGGCTGGTAGGGCGTTGGGGCATAGCAGGGGAGGGCAGGCTAAACAGACCGTCCGGCAAACCGAGCGCTCGGGGCACGTCTTGTCTCAATACGTGTGTTTATAGGCACAGGTCATTTATAGGACGTGTGTGTGTGTTTATAGGGCACAGGTCTGGTTTATAGGACACTGGCGTGGTTTATAGGACACAGGCGTGGTTTATAGGACACAGGCGTGGTTTATAGGACACAGGCGTGGTTTATAGGACACAGGTGTGGTTTATAGGACACAGGTGTGGTTTATAGGACACAGGCGTGGTAGAGAGGATGGTAGAAAGAGAAAGGATGGGAGAGAGGAGAGGAATGGAAAGTGTTTATAGGTGAAAGTAAAGCAGACTTGATAAAGATTGAAGTAAGAGAATGGAGGTGAGAGGAAGAGGCGAAAGTAGGAAGAGAACGTGGAGTTGAAAAGAAGAGGAGATAAAGGAGGAGGTAAGAAGAAGAAGAAGACCAGGATGAAGAACAAGAGGAGGAGGAAGAGGAAATGAGAGGAGTGGGTTAACAAGTAGCCTCCATCTTAATTAGACTAAACAACTGCCAGAGGTAAGCTGGAGGAGAGAGGACAGGATGATGGTGGTAGGATAGAGGTGTGTGGATATTTGTAGTGAATGGATGGATGAGTAACATTTTGATGGATGGGTGGGTGGATATGGTCTGTCTATCTGTGAGCTGAGAGAGACCCTGAGACCTGCCTTCACACACACACACACACACACACACACACACTTTGGAACTGACAGTCTTTGAGTCTGTCTGTCTGTCTGTCTGTCTGTCTGTCTGTCTGTGATACTGACTCTTTATCTGTCTGTCTGTTTCTAAAACTTCATCGTCTCCGTCCAAAACATCAGAATCAAACCATGTTAAAAGAAAGACTCGACCAAACCTAACCTAACCAAACCAAAACCAAACCAAACCTAACCAAACCAAACTAAACCAAACCTAACCTAACCAAACTTAACGTAACCAAACCAGTATTTGCAACCTGCCACCATTATAAATTCCAGTTTTGACATGAGGCATTTATTCACAGCAGAGCCTTGAGGTGACACATTAATATTCATAAGGCAGTTGTGGTGTGATAAAACCTTCCTCCACAGTGCCACCCATCTGAGAGTCACAGTGCCACCCATCTGAGAGTCACAGTGCCACCCATCTGAGAGTCACAGTCCCACCCACCTGAGAGTCACAGTGCCACCCACCTTGAGCTGCCACCCATCTGAGAGTCACAGTGCCACCCATCTATATAGATATGAAAAGTCCGTTATATCGAGGGTCCGTTAGATGTGAAACCTCCATTTAACGAACTATATAGATATGGAAAGTCCGTTATATCGAGGGTCCGTTAGATGTGACCCACTTCTATGTCGGTTTAATTAACAGTGGGTGTAGTCTTAACTTCTCATCACCATCACTCACTATCACCATCACCATCACCACCACCACACCATCACCACACCACAATAAAAGAATTTTAATATAAAAACACAAAATTTGAAAAATCACTGAATTTTATGTCCAAAGTGTTAGCCCACACATTCACTCCTAGCCCACATCCACCCCAGCTCACACATCTACCCCAGTCACATTCACTCTAGCCCACACATTCACCCAGCCCACACATTCACCCCAGCCCACACATCTCACCCCTAGCCCACACATTCACTCCTAGCCCACATTCACCCTAGCTCACATTCACTCCTAGCCTCACATTCACCCTAGCCCACACATTCACCCTAGCCCACATTCACCCTAGCCCACACATTCACTCCTAGCCCACACATTCACTCCTAGCCCACACATTCACTCCTAGCCCACACATTCACTCCTAGCCCACACATTCACTCCTATAATGTCCAAGATAATAATCCTTATATAATTTCTACATTTTACAATATTTTTCTATATGAGTCTAGTCTGTAATATCAAGGTCCCTGTAACCAGCCTGTAAGTGTAGTGAAGATATATAAAATACAGGTGTTGTTTTATGATGATTAGTTCCTTCCCTAACACCTGCCTCTTCTCCTACCCAACACCTGGCCAACACCTGTATCTCCTCCTACCCAACATCTGGCCAACACCTGCCTCTCCTCCTACCCAACACCTGCCTCCTCCCTACCCAACACCTGCCTCTTCACCCAACACCCCAACACCTGCATCTCGCATCTCCTCTACCCAACACCTGGCCAACACCTGCATCTCCTCCTACCCAACACCTGGCCAACACCTGCATATCCTCCTGCCCAACACCTGGCCAACACCTGCCTCTCCTCCTACCCAACACCTGGCCAACACCTGCCTCCCTCCTACCCAACACCTGGCCAACACCTGCATCTCCTCCTACCCAACACCTGGCCAACACCTGCATCTCCTCCACCCAACACCTGCCAACAATTCCACCCAACACCTGCAACACCTGCATCTCCTCCTACCCAACACCTGTCCAACACCTGCATCTCCTCCTACCAACACCTGGCCAACACCTGCACTCCTCCTACCCAACACCCCAACACCTGCCCTCCTCCTACCCAACACCTGGCCAACACCTGCATCTCCTACCCAACACCCACACTTGCATCTCCTCCTACCCAACACCTGGCCAACACCTGCCTCCTCCTACCCAACACCTGGCCAACACCTGCCTCCTCCTACCCAACACCTGGCCACACCTGCATCTCCTCCTACCCAACACCTGGCCAACACCTGCCTCCTCCTACCCAACACCTGGCCAACACCTGCCTCCTCCTACCCAACACCTGGCCAACACCTGCATCTCCTCCTACCCAACACCTGGCCAAACTGCCTCTCCCACCAACACCTGGCCAACACCTGCCTCCTCCTACCCAACACCCCAACACCTGCATCTCCTCCACCAACACCTGGCCAACACCTGCCTCCTCCTACCCAACACCTGCAACACCTGCCTCTCCACCACCCTCCTACCCAACACCTGGCCAACACCTGCATCTCCTCCTACCCAACACCTGGCCAACACGCCTCCTCCCACCCAACACCCAACACCTGCTTCCTACCCAACACCTGGCCAACACCTGCCTCCTCCTACCCAACACCTGGCCAACACCTGCCTCCTACCCAACACCTGGCCAACACCTGCATCTCCTCCTACCCAACACCTGGCCAACACCTGCCCTCCCACCAACACTGGCCAACACCCACTCCTCCTACCCAACACCTGGCCAACACTTGCATCTCCCACCCAACACCTGGCCAACACCTTTCTCCTCCTACCCAACACCTGGCCAACACCTGCATCTCCTACTCCAACACCTGGCCAACACCTGCCTCCTCCTACCCAACACCCAACTGTTAATACCATTTTTATCGGTGGCTGGTAACCGCCTCACCCATTACATAATTGAGTTGTGAATTGTTTATAAGAGCCATAAAGTGGTCCCTTCTCTTAATGGCTCAACATGTCTAGTTGTTGTCTCACGTCCAGGTGATACTGGAGATACGCTCAGGTGTGGTCCATGTTACCTGCCCGAAATAGGTTTATTAGTACCGGGTAAGGTAGTTAGTTGGTTGTCTCTCCTGGGAATAAAACAGCGTGTGATTTGTAGTGTGGGTTTTTTTTTTGTAGGTCAGTGTACGAAGGAAAATCTGATTTTATTTTGTCTGCCCCCTCCCCCTCAAATAAATAAATAAATAAAAATAAAATACGTTTCATCCACTTTTGATAATATAGTTTGTTTTGTTTTGTTCTCATTAGGTATTGTTGATATAAAGTATTTTTATTTTATAGTATAACAACAACACTAATAATAATAACAATAATAAGAGCAATAATAACTAATAATAATAATAGTAACAATAATATTAATAAATAATAATAATGATAATAATAATAATAATAATAATAAAATAATCAAGGTTAACAATGGTAATAACCCACTGGGTCTCATTACAGTGAAAGAGGATCAAGTCTTCGTGAAATGAGATTCAATCTGATATACAGCACATAAGATCTTTCACTGACCAACACTACACACAGACACACACACACACAGACCACAGACACACACACACACACACACACACACAGACACACAGGGAGGTGAAGGAACTAATTATGAAACACTTATCTGTAATACAAAATATTTTCGTTTTTTCCAGAATATTATCGATATATTTCAGTCCAATATACCTTCTCACTTTATTATAACGTTATACATATTTGAACGAAGATAAATGGCCTTCTGTCTGTCTGTCTGTCTGTCTGTCTGTTTGAACGAAGATAATGGTCTTTCTGTCTGTCTGTCTGTCTGTCTTTCTGTCTGTCTGTCTGTCTGTTGTCTGTCTTGTCCTCAAACCCAGAAGAATTGCAAACATTCGCTTGAAAACTCTTTAAATATCCCATGAATTTATACACACGCCCTCTCTTTGTACACTTTTGTTTCAAGTTTATTGTTTACTTTATGTTGTGGTATACTGTCAAACAATAAACAAAATATTAAACAATAAAAAACAGACGCCTCTAGTAAACGCGACAACAACGCCAGGAGGTCATAGCGGCAAGAACAGGTACTACAGACATAAACAAACTCTGTCCTCTGATCCAATTAAAGCGTCAGAGTCTCAATCATCGCTACAGTAGTTAAGTTGGATTCCTTAATTAGGCGTATTAGAATCTATTTAGTCGCGGTCGTGATTCTTGATGAGATTTCAGGACTATTTCAGCTCCCAACTCTGTACGGTAACTTAAGTGAGTCAATTGATACACAGAAACAAGTCCGAGAATTTAACGGATTATATGGAGAGAAATCCGTTATAGGGAGGTTTTACTATACACCGATGGGTTTTCAGTCTCTTTACTGGAAAATGATGTGTCGCCCTCAGAGCACATGCCCAGTAAAAGCCCAACACATCCCCAATACATACGATGCCCAGCACATACCATACCCAGTACATGCCCAGCACATACCATACCCAGCATGCCTGGCACATACCATACCCAGCACATGCCCAGTACATACCATGCCCAGCACATACCCAGCACATGCCCAGCACATACCATTCCCAGTACATGCCCAGCACATACACATACCCAGCACATGCCCAGCACATACCATACCCAGCACATGCCCAGCACCATACCCAGTACATGCCCAGCACATACCATACCCAGTACATGCCCAGCACATATCACACCCAGTACATGCCCAGCACATACCATACCCAGTACATGCCCAGCACATACCATACCCAGTACATGCCCAGCACATACCATACCCAGTACATGCCCAGCACATACCATACCCAGTACATGCCCAGCACACCATACCATGCCCAGCACATACCATACCCACATACCATACCCAGTACATGCCCAGCACATACCATACCCAGCACATGCCTAGCACATACCATACCCAGCACATACCAGTACATGCCCAGCACATACCATACCCAGCACATGCCCAGTACATACCATACCCAGTACATGCCCAGTACAGCACACACCATACCCAGTACATGCCCAGCACATACCATACCCAGCACATGCCCAGTACATACCATACCCAGTACATGCCCAGTACATACCAACCATACCCAGTACATGCCCAGCACATACCATACCAGTACATGCCCAGCACATACCATACCCAGTACATGCCCAGCACATACCATACCCAGTACATGCCCAGCACATACCATACCCAGTACATGCCCAGCACATACCATACCCAGTACATGCCCAGCACATACCATACCCAGTACATGCCCAGTACATACCATACCCAGTACATGCCCAGCACATACCATACCCAGTACATGCCCAGCACATACCATACCCAGTACATGCCCAGCACATACCATACCCAGTACATGCCCAGTACATACCACCCAGCACATGCCCAGTACATACCATGCCCAGCACATGCCCAGCACATACCATGCCCAGTACATGCCCAGCACATACCATGCCCAGCACATACCATACCCAGTACATGCCCAGCACATACCATACCCAGTACATGCCCAGCACATACCATACCCAGTACATTCCCAGCACATGCCCAGTACATACCATGCCCAGCACATACCCAGTACATGCCCAGCACAACAGCGACCCCTTAAACATCATTGATTACACTAAACATACCCAGGAGGCCCCAGGAGTGTGTCTACTTAAGTTTGGTCTGGAACCTCTCCCAATCAGAAAACCCCACCAATCAGAGCATTCAACCAATCAGAACATTCAACCCATCAGAACATTCAATCCATCAGAACACTCAACCAATCAGAACAATCCATCAATCAGAACACTCAACCAATCAGAACACTCCATCAATCAGAACACTCAACCAATCAGAACATTCAGTCAATCAGAACACTTAATCAGAATACTCAGCCAATTACAGTACTCAACCAATCAGAACACTTAATCAATCAGAGCAGTCAGCCAATCAGAACACTCAGCCAATCAGAACACTCAATCAATCAGAGCACTCAACCAATCAGAACACCCAACCAATCAGAACATTCAATCACTCAGAACACTCAGCCAATCAGAACTCTTCATACTAACAACAGGTAATATTCCAAGGTGTAGGGACAGAGCATATATTAAAACACTACATACATACATACATACATACATACATACATGAATTATTTACAAGACAAATAAATATTGAAAATTTTTGCACATTAATATATATTCATTTCGCTTATAAAATATAGATAATTTATACTAGGCTCTCGGATTTTGTGTACGAACAGGTAACATTGTCAACTGCAACCACTCAGAACTGAAGGTAGGAAATATTAATTAGAAATATAATGACTACGAGATGACGATTGATAATAATAATAATAATAATAATAATAATAATAATAATAATAATAATAATAATAATAATAATTACTGTCTCCTCCTTATATACAGTAATTTATGGATATAGGTCACGTGATGATAATAATGATGATAGTGATGACTTATCAGTATATAACTATTACGAGTGTCATCACAACAGTCAAACGCTTCGTGCCAAATACTTTATGATTAAACAACAACAACAACAACAACAAGTCCATTATCAATATTAACTGGTTCAACAAATATTAAAAAAAAAATCACGATACCTGAAAAATGTTTACACTTTTAGATTTTCATATAACTCTTACCGGAGAACTAGGGAGAAATTTAGGAGAACTAGGAGAGAACTAGAGAGAGAACCAGGGAGAGAACAAGGAGAAATTTAAGGGAGAACTAGGAAGAGAATTAGGGAGATAACTAGAGAGATAACCAGGAAAAAGAAATTAGGAGAACTAGGAGGAACTAGAGAGTAACCAGGAGAAATTGTAAAATTAATGAAAGAAATAATAATCAAATATTCTCCTCCATGCCTAACTCACTTATTCTAACTTAGGTAAATTAACTGTATGACTTAGAAATGGTATTAACTGGTCAAGGCTACAGGTCAACGTCACAGGTTCAGGTCACAGGTCAGGGTCACAGGTCAGTAGGCATAGGTTGGTCAGGTCAGGTCAGGTCACAGATCAATGAGGTCACAGGTGAGGCCACGTTGGTCACAGGTCAGGTCACAGTCAGATCACAGGTCAAGATCACAAGTCAGGGTCACAGGTCGAGGTCACAGGTTAAGGTCACAGGTCAGGGTCACAGGTCAAGGCTCACAGATCAGGATCACAAGTCAGGGTCACAGGTCACTGTTATGTGCGATCATGATTGTTCTCGGAGCATTATTGAATTCAGTGGAGAGCATGACTGACAGGAGCGGTGCTATTACTGACTGGCTGACTGGACGAAGACCGCTGACTGGATAATGACTGGCTGACTGAACAATGACTGGCTGACTGGACACTCACTAAACACCCGTCGGGCAAAATCTCTCCACATAACTTCTCATTGGACAAAACGCACCACCAAATGAAAAAATAACCGAACTCCAGTATTTAGGTTAGGTTAGGTCAGGTCAGGTCGGGTAAGGGCAGGTCAGGTCAGGTCAGGCCAGGTCAGGTCAGGCTGGCAAGGTAAGGTCAGGCAGGTCAGGTCAAGTAATGTAAGGTCAGGCAGGTCAGGTCAGTGGGGTAAGGTTAGGTCAGGTCGGGTTACGTTAGGTCAGGTTAGGTTAGATTAGATCAGTCAGGTTAAATCAGATTAGGTTAGGTAAAAGTAGGTTAGGTTAGGTTGTGTCGCATGGCAGCAACAGAGAGAAAAATGGAAAAAAGAGACAGACAGACAGACAGACAGACAGACATTAATTACAGTCCTTGTTTATTTTTCCCTTGCCCTCCCTTCTGGTATTGAGGGAGATAGTTTGATGAGCGAATTATTCCGAGTTAATTGCTTTCATTTCCATCACGTATTGAACAATTAAGGAAATTATCTAAATCATCTGTGTCGTGTTTTATACCTGCCCTCACCTGATCTCACCTGCCCGCTCATCACCTGCCTTCACCTACTCTCACCTGCCTTCACCTGCTCTCACCTGCCCTTAATTGCCCTTACCTGCCTTCACCTATTCTCACCTGCCTTCACCTACTCTCACCTGCTTCACCTGCCTCACCTGCCCTTAATTGCCCTTACCTGCCTTCCACCTATTCTCACCTGCCTTCACCTACTCTCACCTGCCTTCACCTGGTCTCTCACCTGCCCTAATTGCCCTCACCTGCCCTCATCTGCTCACAAAAATAGTTAATGGCCTAAATACGCCATTTTCACGGGAGGAACACGGAACTCGGGAGGAACACGGAACTCGGGAGAAACACGGAACCGGGAGGAACACGGAACTCCACGAACTCAGAGGAACACGGAACTCGACGGAACTGGGAGGAACACGGAACCGGGAGGAACACGGAACTCGAGGAACACGGAACTTAGTGAATTCGACGCTTGCGACTTTATCAGACAGAGACAGACGGACTGAAAGAGAGAGAGAGAGAGAGAGAGAGAGAGAGAGAGAGAGAACAGACAATGAATGAAAGAGAAACAGACAGACAGACGAATTGAAAGAGAGAGAGAGAGAGAGAGAGAGAGAGAGAGAGAGAGAGAGAGAGAGACAGACAGAACAGACAATGAATGAAAGAGAAACAGACAGACAGACGAATTGAAAGAGAGAGAGAGAGAAGGAGGAGAGAGACAGAACAGACAATGAATGAAAGAGAAACAGACAGACAGACGAATTGAAAGAGAGAGAGAGAGAGAGAGAGAGAGAGAGAGAGAGAGAGAGAGAGAGAGAGATTGTTTTTCCTACCTAAAACCGAAGTTCCTATTTTCCACCTGAATTTGTTGTTTATATTCACTTGGTGTTTACTATATCGCTTATATATATATTTAGAATAGTCTCAAGTTAATCCTGACGACTATTTTATTTGAGGTTTGTTTTATTTTGCTTATTTTTTGATTTATTTTGGTTTTATTTTTGTTTTGTTTTTGGTTTGGTTTATTTTGTTTTGTTTTGGTTTATTTTGTTTTGGTTTGGCTTTATTTTGGTTATTTGCTTATTTTTATTTTGATTTGTTTTGTTTATTTTGTTTTGGCTTATTTTTGTTTTGTTTTTGGTTTATTTTTTATTTTGTTTTGCTTTGTTTTGTTTTGGTTTATTTTGTTTTAGCTTCTCTTCTTATCTCTTCTGTTTCATTCTGTCTGTCTGTCTGCTTGTGTCTTCTGTCTGTCTGTCTGCTTTTGTGTCTCATTCTTGTCTGTCTGTCTGCTTGTGTCTCATTCTGTCTGTCTGTCTGCTTGTGTCTCATTCTGTCTGTCTGTCTGCTTGTGTCTCATTCTGTCTGTCTGTCTGCTTGTGTCTCTTATCTTCTGTCTGTCTGTCTGCTTGTGCTCATTCTGTCTGTCCTGTCTGTCTGCTTGTGTGTCTCATTCTGTCTATCTGTGTGCTTGTGTCTCATCTGTCTGTCTGCTTGTGTCTCATTCTGTCTGTCTGTCTGCTTGTGTCTCATTCTGTCTATCTGTCTGCTTGTTTCTCATTCTGTCTATCTGTCTGTTTGTGTCTCATTCTGTCTATCTGTCTGCTTGTGTCTCATTCTGTCTGTCTGTCTGCTTGTGTCTCATTCCATCTGTCTGTCTGCTGGTCCCATTCTGTCTGTCTCTGTCCCATTCTGTCTGTCTCTGTCTGTCTGCTTGTGTCTCATTCTGTCTTCTGTGTGTTGTGTCTCATTCTGTCTGTCTGCTTGTGTCTCATTCTGTCTGTCTGTCTGCTTGTGTCTCATTCTGTCTATCTGTCTGCTTGTGTCTCAATCTGTCTATCTGTCTGCTTGTGTCTCATTCTGTCTGTCTGTCTGCTTGTGTCTCATTCTGTCTATCTGTCTGCTTTGTGTCTCTATTTCTGTCTATCTGTCTGCTTGTGTCTCATTCTGTCTATCTGTCTGCTTGTGTCTCATTCTGTCTATCTGTCTGCTTGTGTCTCATTCTGTCTATCTGTCTGCTTGTGTCTCATTCTGTCTATCTGTCTGTCTCATTCTGTCTATCTGTCTGCTTGTGTCTCAATCTGTCTATCTGTCTGCTTGTGTCTCATTCTGTCTATCTGTCTGCTTGTGTCTCATTCTGTCTATCTGTCTGCTTGTGTCTCATTCTGTCTATCTGTCTGCTTGTGTCTCATTCTGTCTATCTGTCTGCTTGTGTCTCATTCTGTCTATCTGTCTGCTTGTGTCTCATTCTGTCTATCTGTCTGTTTGTGTCTCATTTCTGTCTATCTGTCTGCTTGTGTCTCATTCTGTCTATCTGTCTGCTTGTGTCTCAATCTGTCTATCTGTCTGCTTGTGTCTCATTCTGTCTATCTGTCTGCTTGTGTCTCATTCTGTCTATCTGTCTGCTTGTGTCTCATTCTGTCTATCTGTCTGCTTGTGTCTCATTCTGTCTATCTGTCTGCTTGTGTCTCATTCTGTCTATCTGTCTGCTTGTGTCTCATTCTGTCTATCTGTCTGCTTGTGTCTTATTCTGTCTATCTGTCTGCTTGTGTCTCATTCTGTCTATCTGTCTGCTTGTGTCTCAATCTGTCTATCTGTCTGCTTGTGTCTCATTCTGTCTATCTGTCTGCTTGTGTCTCATTCTGTCTTCTGTCTGCTTTGTGTCTCATTCTGTCTCTGTCTGTTGTGTCTCA